TCCACATAAGCTGCTGGCCCCTTTGTCCAGAAGATTTAAATGTATTACAATAACTGATAGTATCAAGCTTCCTTTTTTTTATGAGTATCATGTAGTGACTGGTTCAAGTCGTATCTCCCATCACTACCTGCATTGCGTCTCTGGCAACAGCTAAGAGTGAGTAAACCAGCACAAGAAAGTAGCCACAAAATGTGAGCTGTTCCACACAAAAATGTGCACAGCTTTCATGGATGCATCAATACTGTTGTAGATTTAGTGATGCTCTATTTTGATCTAATAATGACAATGCTATGGCTTTCAAATACCCCTCCTTTTTCTTTCCTGTAGAAGAAGCTTTGCAGTGCTACTCCTTCATACCCTGTTTTTCCTGCCTGCAAGAGTAAGATTTAGCTGCTGATACAGGATTCTAAAAGGCTTGGGGGTAACGGAGTGAATTAAACATTCCTATTCCAGCTGCTGCTGTTCACAACACTTTTGACAGTTAAAATACATCACACATTCTCTTGTCTGTTTAATATAAACAATTAGTATTTTAAGTGGAGTCCAGAATCAACCCCAAATAGGAGGATCCAGACAGGCAGTTCAGATAGGAAACTAAGCAGTGTCCTGAATTTATATAGAAGTAGTTTGCAGTCAGCTGAGCTATGCCTAATATACTGACTACTGGAGAACATTAGACCATGGCAGCTGAGAACCAATGGCTTGTCTTCTGGAGATGAAGGTTTCATTTTTCATCTCAAAATTATTTTAGCACAACTTTTTATCTTAAGTTTTTATTATGAAATATAAAATGAAGGGAAAAAAAATCAAAACTAGAATAAAGCATTTTTGGTTTTATATAATGAATTTTGTATAATGAAACATTCTAGTTAACCCTAGACCAGTTTTGGAGGAAAGCTTGTTTAAACAGAATTTTCCTTTTTCTTTTTTTCCATTCTGGAATGAAGAGATTTGAAATCACAAAACTCATAGAAACAAACAAAAAAATCTGGCTTCTCTATAGGTTTTACTTCCTTTGAGCTGAAGTAAACCTGAATTAACAGAAGGGCTTTAATGCAAACTTAATTTTAGTATAGAAGCAACATTGTAGAATCATAGAATGGTTTGGGTTGGAAGGGACCTTAAAGATCATCTAGTTCCAACCCCCGTGCCATGGGCAGAGAAATCCTCCACTACACCAAGTTGCCCAAAGCCTCATCCAACCTGGCCTTGAACACTTCCAGGGATGGGGCAGCCACAACTTCACTAGGCAATGTGTTCCAGTGTCTCACCACCCTCACTGTGAACAATTTTGTTCGTGATATCTAATCTAAATCTGCCCTCTTTCAGTTTAAAGCCATTGCCCCTTGTCTTATCACTACATACCCTTGTAAAAAGTCCCTCTCCAGCTTTCTTAATAGGCCCCCTTTAAGTACTGGAAGGCTGCTAGAAGGTCTCCTTGGAATCTTTTCTCCAGGCTGAATAGCCCCAACTGTCTCAGCCTGGCTTCATAGGAGAAGTGCTCCAGCCCTCAGATCATCTTTGTGGCCTCCTCTGGACTCACTCCAGCAGCTCCATGTCCTTCTTACGTTGGGGGCCCCAGAGCTGAACGCAGTACTGCAGGTGGGGTCTCACAAGAGCAGAGTAGAGGGGGAGAATCCCCTCCCTCGACCTGCTGGCCACACTTCTTTTGATGCAGACCAGGACACGGTTGGCTTTCTGGTCTGCCAGCTCACATTGCCAGCTCATGTTGAGCTTCTCATCAACCAGCACCCCCAAGTCCTTCTTCTCAGGGCTGCTCTCAATCCATTCTCCACCCAGCCTGTATTTGTGCTTGAGATTGCCTCAATGCACATGCAGGACCTTGCACTTGGCCTTGTTGAACTTCATGAGGTTCACACAGGCCCATCTCTCAAGACTGTCAAGGTCCCTCTGGATGGCAATAATTTTAAGAATAATTGCAATCTTTGTAGTTTTAGGAATCCTAACATGATCTCTGCAAAGTGCAATTTGCTAAAATTTCTTTCCTAAATGAGACACTTTTTAATAAAAAGGTTATAAACTGAAAAAGCTCCTCACTCCTTACAAAAGGCATCCAGGATGCAGTATGTATAACACATGTAAAACCCTTCGAGTCTAGACGATGCATGGCTCCCTAACGAAGAGGAGGTAACATTCGGTATAATATTGCTTCACACAGGTGGTCTTGAAATTCCCTATACCTAAAGTCATGGCCCTCATGGGTGTGAAGGTCTCTTTGGAAACCTCTCTGACAACTTTTCCATGTCAAAAACTAAGCATGCACTTCACTGTGAAGCTGAACCAGGAATAGCTGTCATTTAGAATCATAGAATCACAGAATGGTTAGGGTTGGAAGGAATGGTTAGGATTGAATCCTCTAGCTACTAGCATGAGTAAAACATCTAATAGGAAGCGTTTAGCCTCACTTCTGCTTGCCAAGGAGGAAGCTAAATTTTAGTTTATAAACTTTACATCCATGACTTTCCCTGTATTCCTTTGCAGTGGTTAGTGGCTTGATTGCACTGGGCCCTGTAAGGTCTACAACAGTGCAACTCATTAATCATAAATAAACAACTTCCCAACTTTGCAGTGGAAGCCAGGCAATTAATTTCTTTTAAATTGAGACTTCATCTAAAATGAAATAGTCCCCTCAGACCCACACGGCAGCTTCTGCAGCCATCAACTCATTTTGCACCTTAAAAAAAAAAAAGAAAAAAAAAGAAAAAGGAACGGGGCACAGGGAGTAAAAATGAAAACAGCTTCAGGTTGTTCAATTTCCTGTTTGTTTAAATTTGTCCTTCCTGACATGCAGATTCATCACACTCCTTTCCTGGTGACTACTTCATTAGATTAGTTTAGTTAGGTATTCAGAGGGATTTTTATCTTCTGACTCATAAAATTCTTGTATTCCCCTAAGAATTTCCTGTGTCTGACTGGAATTTTATATCTTTGTAGTTTTAGCCGGACTCCTTAAAGAAGTTGCTTTCTAAATGTCTCTGCTTTTGAGACCGTCTGAGGAGCCAGCTCAGACCTTGATTCCTGCTTTTCAGGAAAACTGATCTGTGCCAGCACGCCGTCTCTTAAAATTTTAATCAGAAATTTTTCTTAATCTTTTTAACCTCTTCCTTTCCTGACAGTATTTCCCCTTGCTGCTTATGCCCTTTCCAGGTGTCCACTTCAGAATATTTTTGTCCAGTTCCAAAAATGCACCCCAGTGGCTTAGAGTGCAGACTGCCAGCCTGTCCCATCAGGTTTTCATCCCTCACTTGCTGTAAAGCAGAGAAGCTAAGGTTACGAGTATATTGGACCATTTAGCAGCTGATGAGAAACGCCTTTGTGTATCCCTTCCCCGTCTTTTTTTAGTCCTTTCTTTTTGTGTTCACCGTCTTTTTTTAGTCCTTTCCGAGGAGGGTGAGAGCCAGATTAGGCTGGAGCCTTGGCGTGGGCTTCCTTGAAGGGTTCAGTGCATCAAAGGGGATGCTTTGTGACGCGTGAGCTCCAGAAGCACATGGAGTGATGGCGGTGCCAACTCGCCTGCTTACGCGAGAGCGTCGTCTGCCTTCGTTTCCCTCGCCGTGCAAAATGACGGCGCTTGGTACCTTCCAATGTCTTTGAACAGGAGGAAACAGACGACAGAATGGCACCGTGCTCCTTTTCCAAAAGCCTGGGTGAAAAAGCAGAAAAAAAACTGGTCACCCGCTCCGGTTTCAGTGCCGTTTCTCCTCTCGTGGATCACGGTGTTTGCGGCTGGAGCTCCCGGACAGGTGCCCCGAAACACAGCTTTGAAATAACCGGCACGTGTATTCATTGGTAAGGGTGCTTTCCCCGAGTATGTTTGCCTATGGAATCAGCAGGTGGAGACACGAACACGGCTATGCGCCGCCGCCGCTCCCGCCCCGCC